GCACCTCTTGGTCAGACAGGCTGGTGTGCTTCTTCCACGTGAGATGCTTCTCAGCTGGATGGCCGCTTGTTTCTCTTCAAGCCTTTAAGACCCCAGCTGCTATATCTTTCTATATACTTTTAAGGCTTCATAGTTCCCGCTGTTTCAATTTCTTTTCATAAACTTTGATATGCTGCACTTAGTCTCTCATTGAAATCATTTTTAATTTCCATCGAAAGTTTTTGACTGACAGGGCTTTGAGAAATGCATTGTTTTATTTCAAATATTTGGGAATGTTTCGGTTGTATATTTTTCCTTACTTTATAGCTTAATTCCCAATTCTCCTGCAGTCATAAAGCATAGTCTGAAGGATTAAAATCTTGTGAAATGCGATGAAACCTGTGTTATTGACCAACATATGGTCGATTTTGATAAATATGTTCTGCTGTTGTTGGGTTCAGTGTTCCATACTAAGGTATGTCAAATAACTCCGTTTTGTTCATCACATTGTCAAACTTCATTGTTCAGGTTGATTTTTTTCCCATCTATCCCTCAGTTACTGAGAGAGGGGTTAAAGTTTCTCACTATGATTGTGAAACGTGTCCATTTCTCCTTTATGTCTATCAATTTATCCTTTTTATTTCTTGAAATGATTTAACAAAGTACATGCACATTTATGGTGGTTGCATCTTTTTCTTCATGTTTATCTCTAGGAGCATTTTTTTCACCCCAAAATCTCCTTTGTTTAGTATAACTATACCAGATTTCTATAGTGTTGTATTTTCATGGTCTCTCTGTTGCTATCTCTTTACTTTCAAGGGTTTTTTTTTGTTCTGTATTTAAAATCTTTCTTATAAGTAACATAATTAAATATAATTTTTAAAATCACTTTTGACAACCTTTTTATTTATGTGGATACTTTGTTAACATTTAATGTGATTACATAAATGGATGCATTTGGATTTATATTTGTCACTTAATTATTTGTTTTTTATTTGCTCTATGTTTTCTATGATATCCATTCTCTCTGTTTGTGCATTTGAACGCATTAATTTATTTTTATCTTTCACCTACTCACTTCCATCAGCATATTGGTGCTATATTCTTTGACTGGTGGGTGCTCTTAAAATTACAGAATGAATCCGTGGCTTATTTGAGTTTAATGTAAAATAGTATTTTTATCTCTTTACAAACAATTATAGAACTTTAGAGTATCTTAAACTTCAATAATTTTCTTCTGCCTTTTGTGTTGTCATACATTTTAATTCTACATATATTAAACCTATACAATATTATTATCATTGTTTCTATCATTGATATTTAGATAGCTCTTCCTAAAATTTCTCACTTCTGTTGCTGTTCATGTCTTGAATTCTTGCATATCCAAATGGGATCATTTTCCTTCTGCTTGAAGAACTCTCTTGAGTATTTATTTTACTATGGATTGACTTGTGACAGGTCCTATTCTTTTGTATTTATCTGAAAATGCCTATATTTCATTTTTACTTTGGGGGAAAAATTATTCTTTTTTTATTTTTGCTAAATATAAAACTTTGAATTGGTAGCTATTTTCTTTCAGCACTTGAAAGGTCATCCGATTTTCATTTTGTTTCGAAACCTTATGATGAAATGCATCTTCAGTATTCCTTTTGAACTAAATTTTCCTCTTTTCACCACTGAGAACACATAGAGAACACGAGGAAAAATCTCTTTGCTGGCATCAGATAGTTACCAAGGCAGTGAAAAGTTATGGGGTCAAAACATGGAAGAGGTTGGCTCAATGTTTGGAATTTTTTTTCCTTTGGAAGCAGTGTGTTAGTTACATAATCTGGTGTCAATTTGAGGATTAAGAGTGTAGGGGTGGAATCTGACCTGTCAATTGGGATTTGGTTGATGAGGCCTCTGTGTGGGCATGGCCTTCTCCTGAGGATTCTGGAAACACCTGTATTTCATGCGTGGAGGCGGGAGACTATCTCAGCTCACTCTTTACAAGACATTTCTGAGGAGCAGCCACAAGAAGCTACTCTCAGGCAGAGTTTCAGAGCTGAAGGAACCACATGGAAACCCCTGCCAGTGCTGAGATGTTTACACCACTGGATCCATAAGACTTTCCACCCACTGGCCTGTGATCTTCCTGTATTTGGCATCATTGCATGTGTTTTGTGAGTCTGAAGAAGACTTTATAGATTGGTATCAGACATATGGGTTAATATCAGACTTATGGACTTGATCTGGACTGGGCTGGGATGTTTTCTCAATGTTCAATTGCTCTTGAATATAAAGCTCCTTCTTATACACATATGTGTGCTTATGATTTTGTTTCTCTATTCCACTCAGATTAACACAAGCAGCTGTTGATTCCAGAAGATAATCCAGGACAAGAGTTCCATTGATTGATAAAGCTAAGGGGACAAAATGAACCATGGCTTACCAACAATGTGGAGTTCACTACTTTAGGCTTTGGGTAAGGACCCTGAAGAGCTACATCCAAGGAGAAAGACTAAACCAGAAACAAATCTGTTTGGAGCATCTCAATCTTTGCTTCTGACCAAAAATCTACAAAGTCACCATTCTGGCTAGTTTTGCATAGGTGTAGATAGGTAGTCCTGATCCAGTGAAAGAACCTTTCAATTTATATTTGTCAGGAAGCAGTGCCTTCAACTGTAGATGCTCTTACTAAACTCTTTTGCAGAATAGAAGATAAATTAAGTGGCTTGACACAATGGATGTATGTACGGATTGCGATAAGTTGTACAAGCCCCCAATAAAATGATTTAAAAAATTAAGTGAAGAAAAATTGTGTTGCTGTTGTAAAATATGACAGCAGGAGTAACTTAGGATGAAGGAAATTAAATGTAGATTTGAGGAACATCTTTGAAATACACTAATAAAAATCACTATATAAAATCAAAGGAGAAAATTCTCTCTTTTTAAAATATGCAAGTAATTGCTTCCCAGGTTTAAAACCAAACTCATTACCATCAAGTTGCTCCTGTCTCATTTCAGTCCAATGGGGCAGAGTAGAAACTGCCCCCATGGGGTTTTCAAGGGTTTTTCTCGTGTCTTTGTCACCAGTTAAGGCTGTTGGAGAGGTTCTTTGAAATACTCGGACTTCAGTTTCCTTGCCTGCAGGAAGAAATTGAACAAGATCATTTTTAGGGTTCTTTCTAGTTCTGACCCTCCAGTTCTGACCCTTCATGAATCTATTCAAGTTTTGCAAGCTATGGTCAATCCTGGTATATGCTGTGAGAGTACCTGGGTAGTACACACGGCTTGTGTACTTAGATGTTAACGAAAAGGTCAGAGGTTCAAGTCTGCTGTGCAGGAAAAACATGGTGATATGCCTCCAAAAAATTGTCCCCTGAAAACCCTATGGAGCACAGTTCATTGCTGACACACGTGGGGTTTCTGTGAGTCAGAATCAATTTGATGGCAAGTGCTTGTTTTGTTTTTGTTTTTTAATCTTATCGGTCTGTAAGTAAAATTCTCTCTGAGTTTCTCTACCATCACACAGACATACTGGGACTCATCTCAGTGATCCTTCCCAAAGGAACGCAGCCAATTTTCCCTCTCTGGATGATCACACAGATGGGCTAGAGTCCACTTTGCACACAATAGGCCACAGCTTCTCAGTAAAGACAATAGATAGGCAGCAAACAATGGTGAATTGGGAAGGCCTGTAGCCTAAACAATCTAATTTGGGAAAATGCTAACATAATATTTTTCTCTAAACTACAAAATTAGCATAATTTTCTACTGGGAGATGGATGGTCTTGGGCTGTTAAGAAATACAGGCGTTTCCCACCCAACCCCCTTACCCTACATCTGATTCCATCAGCATTGAAACTGAGACTGGAAATGGACACCCACATTAATAAAACAACAAGGTAGCTTTTGGACACTTAAATGAAACAAAAGAAATTGGACCTGGGAATGAATTACTTATTTATGGCATGTCCTTATCAAGCTACCCACACACTTCTGAAGCCTGAGGTGCTCTCTCTTTGTCGGTCTGCTCTACGGCAATCTGGAGGCCTCTGAGTGGGGGTGGTGGGGGTGGTTGTGGTTTAGGTTAATGGTGAACCAAGTGTTGGGAATCATTTGGTTCAAAGCTTTATTACCAGGAACCCTTCTCTCTTCCCCTCTTTTCTTGGGGACATTTTGAATGCCAGCAACTGGTAAGCAGGACATACATACATGGGACTTGAATACAGTGATCTATCAGGAAGGAGATAACCAAACTAATCAAAATGAAACAGGACGAAAAGGCTTCCTTAACTCTGGAAAGGGGATACTTCTGAGGAGCCACTGACAACCTGAGGGCTTGTGTCTGTTAAAATGGAAACAATGATTTTAAGAAGGAGAACAGTAGATGCTGGCAGGTTGTGGAGAACCTGGAAGGCTCATCACTTACTGGTGGGAATGTAAAATGGTGCAGGCACTGCTGGAAACCACTTGATGTTTCCTTCAAAAATGGAATGTAGGGTCACCGTCTCACTCTTTGCTATGGAGGCAATGCCGACTCCTAGTTACGGACCCCCGC